TGCTACATGTTTTTGTTATTATAATATTACATATAGTTCTGTTCCTTTGGGTAAGAAAATGGCTGAGGGTCAGATTGGCTGTACAGAGAAATTCACACTGACTTGGGAGTCAGCTGCTGTGGACGATGAGACCTTTATCTGTTCCTTGTCAGCTGAGTGACCCTAATAGTCTGGTAACCTCCCTTCCTTAATCTGCCTGTGAATAGTGATGAACTCCATTGACTGAGTTCCTGCTCTCTGCTGGGCAGCATTATCACTGATCTTTATAACAGTTTTGCCAGTTAGGCATCATTACACCCATTTTATAAATGAAAAAACTGAAGCTCAGAAGGTTGAGCAGCTTGCCCAAGGTCATACAGCTAATGCTGAGATTCTAAAGCCCATGGTTTGATTCCATTCATTTATAATTTTCTGAGTTACATATATTTCACTTTAGGAATCTCTTTCCTAACCATATTTATCTTTATTGCTGAGAATTCTTCAGAAAAACTACAATTGGGTTTAACTGACCACATTTTTGGCAATTGTTACTTGACAAATTTTTTTCTAAATCTGATTGGTGTTAGTATTTCATCACAGATCTTCTTACAGCAAATGGATTGCATGTAGTCTGACAAACTGGATGTGATCTGTTCTCTTCTATTTATGTAAATGTAAATAAAATCATTGAAAAATAGTGTTATCTTACCTCTCAATGTTAGGATTCTCTTCAGGATCATTTTTACACCTTGCTTCTAATTTATTACCATGTGATTATTTCATCAGATGCTTGTAATGTTTCATTTGTAATCTCCCTATCTATCCATAGGTTTCTCTATAGAAATAGAAGAATTAAAAGAAAAAGTACAGCTCTTGAGTCTGTTCTCCTGCTAGTAAGACTAATTCTTTTTTAAATGATACAGATTTATAGACTCTTGGCTTGTCATCCAAACCTATGCCAGTCCATTCTTTTCAGAATCTAATTCTTTTGCTTTCTTATGTTTGTATCCATGCCCAGAGGTTCCTTTTGTAATAGAAAGACACTGTAATTGCTGTAAGGCTGAAGAAATTGTGATAAAAAATAACTGCACTGTTTTAGCAGGTTATCCATTAATTTCCCCAGTGGTTAAAAATGTTTAAAAATGTAAGTGAAGTAGTTAGTCCCTGCAGAATCCAAGAAACAATGACAAACCATTTTAATTATGTTTAAAACTTCAGACTTCAGCATTCTTATCATCTTACTACTTCTGGTGACTTCACTTCCTTCAGGTGCTTAATCTCCTAAGCGAATCTCTGTGTGGCAGCTACAGCCGTGCTTCATCTTCACCTCTGCACTTTGCATCCAAGGATTATGGAATATAGAAATTGACTTTGACATACTTTGATAAAATTGGTGTCAGATTAGGCCTTTTCTTTGGTCTATAGGTTTGATATCTGGCTGTCATAAACCGTCATTAGTCAGTTCTAAAAGTTTAAAAAATGAGGAAGGTAGGAGGGAGTAGAGTGAGATGGAATCTGCTCATCTCTATTGTAAACTCTGAAATTATATTGATTAGGCTTTATGGATTCTAATCCAGAGAGTGAGGCTCAATAACTACCTCCAGTTTTATATGCACAAAAAGTACTGATTGGTCATTTTATGCATGTAGCTGATACTGAATAAGAACTTATTAAATAGATATTAGTTAGGAAGGGCTTTGGTTAGACTTCTTTACATAGTATGATGCCCGATCATGTAATTTTCTAATAGTTGAGTTGACATGTTTTAGATTATTTTTCTTTAGTTTTATTGTCTAATTATTAAAAATGTATGACTGCAATGTATGAGTACATCTCCAAAGGACTTAAAATATTTCCAGATAAGTTGATCTATCCTCAAATCCATCTACTTCTCCAGAAAAAAGAAGTCATTGTTATCATCTTGTTACATAGCCTCAAGACCTGTATTTGGTGTATTTCTAATATGTAGAAAATGTATGATGTTGATTTGCTGATACATGTTTTATGTAAATAATATCACACTGTGTTGCTGATCATCTTTCAAGAAAATTACTCAAGCGTTTCCCAGTTAACTCTGGGTAAAAAGAGTTCCATACCACCATTTCTATATCCAGCCAGACTGAGAAGGAGGTGAAATTTTTTCTTGGCCTCTATTATTTTGCTTGTTATCTCTCTCTTGAACTTAAGTCAGTTTATTACTTACAGTACTTGCATATTAATCCTTGGCACCAAATGCAAAATAAAAGACTTTGTTCTAGTTAAAATAACTTTCATTACCAGTAAGACAATGGGGAAATGTTGTAGGAAGCATGAGATTTATTCTTTGCCCCTGAAGGCCCACTCTTAGGTATCTGCCCATTCTCTGAGGCCATGAAGCCAACTCAGCCCAAGACTATTTTAAAAGGAAATGTGCACATTTTGAATAAGCCTTACGTTTGATTATGGAACCACTTGTCAGAGTTCCAGTTTATGATTTGAAATCACAAGCTCCTCTGCTCAGCCTGGAGCAAAGCAATGAAGGCTAGGAAGATTGTCCAGCATTTCCAAACAGAAAGGAGACAGGTTATTTGCTGAAAGAATACATCAAAGCATAACCACTACTACTGTTTTTATGTAGTAGTGATGGTTGTAATGGAGCTAAAAATCTACTGGCCCTAAGAAAAGAACTGCTGTATTCCCTACCTCCAGGCTTGTGACCCTCTCTAGGGGCATTTTGGATTCCAAGCATTGAAAAAAATGTTGACTGCTACTTATATATACCTTTGTGTTTTTCAAGTTCAGCATCGTGGTGCTGTTTCCAACCTTGAAGAACACATACCTACTTACTAAGTATCAGGCACGATGCTAGCCATTTTGTGTACTTCATTTTTTCGTCACACCTCTCAGATTTAATAAAGCAAAGATTAGGACACCCATTTTACAGGTGAGGCCATTGACATGCAGAGTCACTAACTCAAAGCAGTTGTTTGATAATTCAAACTGAGATAACCTTAACTCCAATCTGTCTTTTCATTAAACCTTTTAGTTTCTTATACCTTTTTATCAAACAATATTTCATACATTGTTTTACAAGCAATCTTGTATAATATTTGAACCCTCTTAGTGTCATTTTTTGGGGAAAGTTTTAAAAAAACTACAGAATATTCATAATTGGATATGAATGTAATTTGCCATCTTAGGAATTCTATCAGCAAAAACCTATTTAAAGGCTTGCTGATAGAAATTTTCTTTTCACTAAAAGCATCTGCTAGCTAAAATAATGACCAATAGTGAGAAGCCACTCAGTCAAATCTGTTCACTGACTAAACCTGTTTTTCCATTTCCAAATTCTTAGAATAATGAAAACCCTGAGTTCTTTGGAGGGATTATTACATAAAGTATTCCTCTTTGTCTAACAGTGTCCTACCAGTGTTTTGAAAAGGAATTAGAATTTTCTTTGTCCGTCTATCCAGTTATCTAACACTTTATTTTTTTAATGTAATGCGTTCTTGTGGTTTAGCTTTGTAGCTTTTGGTTCTTGCAAAATTAATTGCTAGTACTTCCAATTATTTTCCTGTTGAGATAGCACATTTGCACTTTCTATAATTTGTATGTACATTTTATGTTTCATTAAGTGGAAACAGGGGTGCTGTAGTAAGACCTATTTCTGTGTTTGTATTCTCAACTGATATTTACTCCATACTGATATAAGAGCTCATCTAAGCAAAATTCATTATCAAAGAAAAGATTGATTGTTTGGTCTTTTATTTCTTGCCACAACTCTAAACTAAGCATTTTGCTTTGGGACAATAATGCTATTTTTACTCTAACAAAATATCTTAAGATTTTAAGTATACTTATGCTTAGCAACCCTTAAATAGTCAGGAAATTTATTTGAAAATCAACTCACTCTTTTGAATTTTGAGTTAAGAGTAAGCATGTTTCCAAGGTGAGATACCTCTCATTTAATGTGATTAATAACATTCACATAGTGGAGCTCTGTTGGTGAGTTTTGGGGACTGTATTTTGACATGGTGGGAGATACATCACTGAGATGCCAAGACCTTGTGCATGCCTGTGTGTTATCCCGAGACCATCCTGCAGGTATTCGTGAAATAGTTTAGGGATAGTGTTCAGTATGCACTGTGGCTGATGTTTCAGAAATACAAGATCTATGCGTCTGTGAATTTCTTGGATTGAACAGATCTTCTAAATAGTATTCTTAAATCTTCTGCATCTGTGGATGTTTTGTTGCCCTTGTCTAGCTTGGATTAATACTTAGCCTATAGGCGCAGACCTGATCATCTACATTTGCCCTCTTACAGCACTAAACTATGTTTTCTACCTTTATCTTGCATCTACCTACCACTTCAGCATTTTATTAATAATAATAATAATAATAATAATAAGGGAGAAATGTGGGATTCACATATAAATCAAGTATAAAAATCAAACGAATATTCATATTTGACCTGATTGTTTATAGTTCATAATGCGTGATCAAAACCGAAAGTTTCTGTGATGACTGCCCTTGCACTGTTCACCATGTAAGAACTTATTCACTACGTAAGAATTTGTTCACTATGTAAGAACTTGTTCATTATGCTTCAGAAGATTGGAGACTGTTGAGAATTAGGCTTGGGGTTGATTAATGATTGTGCATTGAGTCCCTTATACAGAATTTTGTTGTTGTTAACAACCATTTGATCAATAAATATGAGAGATGCCCTCTCAAAAAATAAATAAATAAATAAATAAATAGTATTCTCAGCTGCTCAGACTGTTCAGTGATTCACATTTTACAGAACAAATTCCAAGAAACCACTGGCAATATCATTAAGTCTACCACCACCTTAATAGTCTGTCTTTGTGCACGTTTCAGTTACTTCCTCTGTCTGAAATGCTAGCCACTTTTCACTTATTTTCCCCCAGAGTGTCTGTTCTACTGCTTGAGGCATTGTTATAACAGCATAAATTCTTCCATGCCTAGAAATGTAAATTAACAATGACATTTTCTTTTTTACTTTCTTTCTTTTTTTTAGAGCATCAGGGCATCAGGCCTTATCCTGTTGGAAACAATCCTTTTTGGGTCTCTGCTTCTGTACTTCCCAGTAAGTAACATAATTACATTTTTTAAATAGCCATTTAAAAAATTTGTTTAGGCAGTAATTATATATATATAAAATATATGACTTATTCATATATCTGTATACAAGTTTATATATCTACAACATATATGATAGTATATAATATATAGTAATGTATATAATTGATACAGATAACATAACAAGGGCTTTATAGATAGTTAAGCTCTGGGATCTCACCTGTTGGGTGACCTTAGACAAGTTGCTTAGCATTTCTAAACTTTGGTTTCCTCTTATAAAGTGGAGTTAATTTTACTGTTCTTCCCAAACTTGTGAGGAGGGTTAAGTGAGCTAACATGTAGTAGGCATGTATGGTGTGTATACTCAGCTTACACAGATAAATATGCATCTTCTTCCACCTCTATCTGATTCAGAACCATGAACCATACCAACTAGCTAATGCTGAAAAATTCCAAATGGTTACACAGAAAAATTAACTCAATAAATATATATGTAGTACTAGTGGCATAGATAATCATAGTAGACTCTTCCTGTCACACTAGTAACATGCTTCATCAGAAGATAAGTACTGATTTCACTAATTCAGTTCAACCAACTTGTGTTCAATGGTTACTGTGTCAAGTGCAGTACTAATCTGGGAATACTCTGTGGTCGAGCAAAACTTCATTTCTGCTGTCAAGAAGTTTACAGATTCAGAAGAGGCAATGAGGAAACATGGGCAATATAATGTGACGACAGCTAAGAGTAGGAAGGGCAGGTGTTCTGGAGACACTTGGGAGAGAGACCTTCCTGAGTCTAGGGAATAAAATGTGCATGATGGATCTGAAAGATGAGTAGATGTTACAGAAGGAAAAGGTAGGGCTTCCAAGACACCATATTCTTTCCTCTTCTCCTCTCACCTCACTAGCTGCTCCATTTCAGCCTTCCTGGCTGATTCTTAATCTTCTTTCCCACTTCTTTAAACTTGAGTGACTCAGGACACAGTGCTTGTAGCTTTCGTTAATCTTCATCCTCCCTTGGTGACCTCATTTAGCCTCAAAGCATTGAAAGCTATATGGCAATGATTCCCACTGCTGTTATCTCCAGCTCCAAGGTTATATCTCCTTTCCCCTGAGCTCAAATTCATGTTCAGCTGCATACTCAACAACTCCACTTGAAGGTCCAACAGAATCCTTACATGTTCTTAACTGAGAGACTGTTCAGATCGTAGTTGACAGTGTAGAAGTAAGTATTCTGTAGCCCCCATCAGTCTCCCCGTCTCCATTGACTGCAACTCCTGCTACTGGGGCCAAAAACCTGGGAGTCATCCTGGATGACTCTCTTTCACATCCACCAGAAAACCCTTCAGAACATAACAAGAATCCAAGTACTCCCCAGTACGTTCACTGCTACCACCTTAGTCTAAATGATCACCTCCATCACACTATCACCTCTTCTGATTGTTGTCTTAGTCTCCTCCTGGCCTCTCTTCCTCCCACCTTACCTCCTGTCATCTGCCTACTTTCAAAACACGAGCCAGTTTTAATGCCAAAGTTAGATCATGGCACCCCTCTTCTCAAAACTCTCTAAAGGTTCCCCATTTTACTTAGAGCAAAAGCCAAAATCCATAGATTGACCTCCAAGGCGCAACATGATTTGGATCCTGCCCACTTCCATTACCTCATTTTCTAATCTTCTTCCCACACTCAGCGTTTGCAAGCATTCTTAATCTATTCAAGTTTTCTGCACTTGAAGTTGATTTTATATTTCTCCTTAAGACCGAAATTACTTATAGTGGTTTTTAATTTTTCCTTAAAATCGCCCATATTGTTTTCTAATATACTAGCAAAGAGTTATACTTTATAATTAATAATAGGATCAATATGATAATAATATGATAATACAAAGGCTGTTGATCATGCCTGGTACTGTTCCTGTATGAATGGCATGCTGCGCAGCATAACATTTTATCTTCCCCATAAAATGACCAGATGGGTATTTAACCACAGACATAGAATCACCCAATTAGGAAGTGAAAGACCTGGAATGACCTTAGTATCTGTATAATAATGATCTTAATCATCCGAATATCTGTTTTTCTAGCTGCCATCATCTTTTAACTAAATCTCTGCTATTTTAATATACATTTTCTACCTGGTAGCCAAAGGGATATTTATAAATGTCAAGTCTAATCTGTTACCACTTCTGTAGCTTCCCAGTATTCTTAGGATACAGATCAAAACTTACAGCATAGTTTATGATGTTACATACAGAAGGTCCTTGCCCACCTCCCCAGCCTCATCTTATACCATTTTCTCCTCATTTTCACTGCCTGGTTTCCCTGACCTTTCAATTCTTAAATAAGACACAATCTCTCATGTGGTGAGCATAATAATAACCCCCCAAAATGTTCACAGTCCTAATCCCTGGAACATGTGACTATGTTCCCTCACATAGAAAAGGGATTTTGCAAATGTGATTAAGTTAAGAATTTCCAGATGAGGAGATATCCCAGACTGGCTCAGTCCCAAGGGTCCCCAGTGAAAAAGAGAAGCAGAAGAGACAGAACCAAAGGGATGGAGTCATGAGAAAGATCAGACTGGCTGTTGCTGGCTTTGAAGATGGATAAAGGGGGCCGCAAGCCAAGGAATGCAGGGCAGCCTCTAGAAACTGGGAAAGGCAAGGAAACAGATTCTTCCCTAGAGCCTTTCAAAGAAACACCTTTATTTTAGCTCCATAAGATCCATTTTGGACTTCTAATTTCCAGAACTGTGAGATAATAAACCTGTGTTGTTTCAAACCACTAAGTTTGTGGTAATATGTGACCGCAACTTCAGGAAACTATCACCCCTTCAGTCACAGGACCTTCTCGCATGCTTTTCCTTCCATTCTGGAGTCCTTCTCTGTTTGTCCCACCCCCATCTCACCACTTCTTTTGCCTGATTAACAACTAGTCATCCTTTACATTGTTACTTAAATACCACTCTTCAGGAAAGCTTTCCTTGACCACCCAGTCTGAGTCAAATTCTTTGTAAGTTCTCATGACAGCCCACCTTCTTTCTTGACAACACTGTCTCTGTCGGTGTCAAAAATGCAGTTATTTGATTAACTTCATCCTGAGAGACTGCAGTTCTGTGGGAGCAAGGGCTTGTGTCCGGCTCTCACCATTGCACCTGCAGCACTTTGTCTGTTGCCTATCACTGTAGTGGACACACAGTAAATATGCAGTGAATGAGTGAATGTGATTATACTTGGATGAATTCAGAACTGTACCCCAAACTAGTGGCTATTCAAGTATCTTCCAGAGGATCTGCTTGATTCTGTACAGCTAAGAATGATGGTCCTTATTTATATTACTTTATTTAGTTTCTACAGCTAGGCAGTAAAACACTTTTGAATGTTATTTTGAAGTGTTGACAAAAGTTTGGTTTATTTGTATTTCAAAGTTTCATACTTACTCAAGTAGTCTTATTAATGAGCATGGGCCTAAAATCTATAAAAGTATTTTGAAATCTCTTAAATAGAAGAAGTACTCTAGAAAAGAACATTTGAAAGAAGAGTACTTGTTAGGCTGCTAAATGTTCAAAGCAGTTATTAGAGATTAACAACTAGTCAACCTTTACATTGTTACTTAAATATCACTTTTCAGGAAAGCTTTCTTTGACCGCCCAATCTGAGTCAAATTCTTTGTAAGTTCTCATGACAGCCCACCTTCTTTCTTGACAACACCTATCTCTGTCGGTGTCAAAAGTGCAGTTGTTTGATTAACATCCTGAGAGACTGCAGTTCTGTGGGAGCAAGGGCTCCAACTTTCATTGACTGAGATCCAATTTTGAAAGATGTTTGATAGGTCTGTACATATGATGATACCAGATACAGAGAAAAAGAGAGGAGAAAAATGAAAATTTAAAAGGAATATAAAAACAGCACCTCTGCTTAATGATTCTAATATGCCTGAAAGGAAAAAATAATCAGAAAAGAAGACTTACCAAACAAATTCTGTCCAACAGAAAAACACTAGGATACCTCATAATGTTGACTAGCTATTGCATCTTTCATAACATAAATGCTTTCTGTAACTGCCTGAGATATTAATAGGTAGCTCCAAGTTCATACTGTGTACCTTGGTTTTAAGTAAGTTTCAGTGTTCATACTCTAAAGGTAGAAGAGGCCAAATTATTTCATGAAGATTTGAATGTAGCAAAAGATACAGGGGGAGAAAGGAGATTAAAATATACTATTGATTGGATCGGGTCTGGAGAGGAATGAAATTTTAATTTACATGAGAGAATGGAAGATGTTGTATCAGAAACTGATAGTAAAGTCTTGGGCTGTGTAGGGTCTATATATAATGTGCATGGGTGCACATGCTTAAAGCATTCTTGACAAGAAGGGTAGCTTGGTTATCGGACCAAGGCTCACTGGCTTCCTTCAGTTTTGCAGACATGAGATTTATATCTTTTGGCTAAAGTTTTTGCTGTAAGGATCTCTGTATTAAGTAATAAGCTGATTAACCTTATATAACCAAAGGGTCTAATCTTTTGATGGTGTAAATATGAACTATACCTTTCTTGTTTGTTAAATATCTTTCCCACTTTCTCTTCTCCTGATGTAGCCTATTACCAGCATTGCTCATGGAAGTTTTACTGGAGGTTACAGTTTTCTAAAAATTGTACTTGAATAAAATAGAATTGTTTTTAGAGCTGGGTAACTCCGTGGAAGGAGGCTTTGGAGATATTCACTGTTCTACTGAGTTGTTATGCAATGAGCCTTTTCTTCTTTTTATGCTGCATATTGTTCTCAGATTTGCAAGAATTAAGGTTATTTTTGCCTTTTCTAAGCAATCTTAGACTACAGACAATTTCATAACAATGCTTATATTGGGAAGTCCAAATTAGAGATTATTATCATTGTGCAGATGAGGAAAAACCAAAATCTGACTAAATTTAACATTGTTATAATTGGATAGCAGAGAGCTGAAGCATTTAAAATATATTCTTACAGATTCTCAAAAGAGACTCATGATT